GTCCAGAAGTACCAACAAAGGACAGTTCCATCTACTCTGTTGGCCCACTACTGCAGTACTTACTGGGCTCTGTTTTTCTAGACTTAACCAAGAGAAAGAAAGCACTTAATTTTTCTTTAAGGTAACTAGTTGGTAATTTGACACGATGTTCAGCCAAGAAGCTAACCACTGAGGAGGAGACAGTAGAAACTTGAAGGAACTTGGAGTGGCTAAGCCTCCCTTCCCACCAGCTGGCCAAGAGATCCACTACTCTGTACCCAGAATTCCTGAAGCATGGACATAAAACACAGATACACTCACCTCACACAGGCTCCAATGCAAACTTGGCCAAGGCATGAGTGTTTCTGAGGCCACGGAGGTGTGTACTTATGACCCTTCCCCTCCCTTGTCACATGGAGCACTTCCTAGGTGACCAGGCTGAATTTCAACCTCATCTAATCTTGTTTATCTTTGAGGATGGGATGCCTGAAGGGCCAGAAGTTCCATTTCAGGTGGGCTAGCCAAAACTGGTTGGTTCTAAGATGGCTGCCAGAGTGACCACCTAACCACCATTACTACAGTCCCAAGCATTCACTAAATTCACCTCCCAATTGCCTTGACCATGACTAGAAAGCACACAGATGGTCTACTGCAGCCCCCCAATTGTGACAATCCAAATGATGAATGAAACTAGGCCATTTCTCACTAAGGTCTCCAAACCCGGCAAGAAACAAACTGCCGCCAATGCTTTGTCCTCTCCAGTTGAGAACTATGGGGAAAGCTCCTAGAGGGACACAGGGAGAAACTGGGACAAGGATAGCTGCCTCTCTCTGGTAGAAGGAAAGGCTCTAACACACACACTGACCTGGGGATATTTGCCAGTTCCAGGAAGACTCCGTCTCCTTCCAATAGAGAAGAGAGGCACTCCAAAACCGTAGACTAAACCATGTCTGCACTACAGGGAACAGTCACAAAAATCTGGAAGCAGAGGACAGACCCACCTCCCCTGCCTCCCTTCCATTCTCCAGACTCAGAGCAGATCTGAACCCCCTCTGTATGCCTGTGGGAAGTGGGAAACAAATCAACCACACCTGGTGGGAAGACAGCCATTTTTCTACTTGAGGGACAACAGAACATCAGGCAAACACCATCCTAGCATCACAGGGTTCAAGGAAGACCGTTCTGCCCATTGCCAGAACAGTGAGCCCACCAGGCAGCAGTAGTTGTGAAGGAGACTGAGGCAGGAGAGCCATTAGTCTGGCCCAGCCCGGTCTCAATAGTTAAACTCTATCTTTAAAATAGAAAAGAAACAAATCATAAAGCAGGACCTGGGCAGAAAACTCAGGCTCCAGCACTCATGTAATAGTCAGCTATGGAGGTGGGTGCTTATAATCTCAGCGCTGAGTCTGAGGATCCCAGGGCTGGCCGGCTAGGTAAGCTCCAGATTCAGGGGAAAACCCTGCCTCAAAGAATAACAAAGAGAACAATTAAGGAAGATGCCCAATCATGACCTCTGGGCTCCAATAGACATTCCTACATGCACACACACAGACATGTGCACAAATATACATGACACACACATGCAGAATGGAATTAATAGCATACAACAAAAGGAAGGGCAGGAAAAGAGGAACCAAATAGTACCCCCCTGAGGCACTAATAGATTATAGCTGTTAGAAAACCAAATTCTGCCAGTAACTCAGACCAAAAATACCAACAAAGGAAGCTTGAGAAAACCATTGTAAATGGATGGAAAAAACGCCATGAAAGTAAGCTGTGGCAAAGATGTACAACCCAAAACTTCCCTAAAAAGAAGGGAAGCCACGCCTGAAGACTGAAATAACCCACTGCAATCCAAAAATGTTAAAGACAGAGACACCATCTCATTCAGATAGAGACTAAGGGACAAGACAAGACTTTTTCCAGGATTCATAGGCTTTAAAAACAAACAAAAAGGCTTTGGGGGCTGGAACAGTTGCTCAGGGGTTAAGAGCACTCAATGCTCTTGCAGAGGACAGGAGTTAGATTCCCAGCATCCATACGACAGCTCACAATCATCTGGAACTCCAGTTCCTTTCCCTAATCTCCACAGGCTCTTTTGCACATACATAATGCACATAAATTCACACAGGCAAACACACATACACATAAGCCTTTAAATAAGGAGGGGCAGTGGCAGGGAGGGTAGCCCAGGCAGACTCAGAATTCATGGTCCTTCCTTGCCCCCCAAGAGTAGGTGTATAGACGTATACCATCTTGCCTGAGTCAAATGTTTCTACACATGGGAGTTAATTCAGACTATTTTCATCTTCCCTACAGCAACATTCAACATCAGAAGATAAACAGGAATGCCCAAACTACTCTGATAGAAAAGCTCAGACGTGCACATGCACATATCTAATCCCAGCACTGAGGAACAGATGCAGGAAGATCAGAAGTTCAAGGCTAGCCTTAGCTACAAAGTGAGTTTGAGGCCAGTCTGGGCTACATAAAACCCTTTCTGGAGGAAACAAAACATTGTTTCTTGTTGATCCTTGAAGCTCAGGTTTGTAATCTCAACTACTTAGAAGACTGAGGAGGAAGGACTGTGAACTCAACACAGCCCATAGGCCACAAAGTTGGTCCAAAGCCTACAAAGTATATTCAAGACTGATTTAGTCAACCTACTTAGAAATTAAAAAAAAAAAAAAAAAAAAAGGTGGGAACAGAATTTGGAAGTAAATTGCTTGCCTAACAAGTGTGAGGTTCTAGGTTCAATTCCTAGAACTTTAAAAAAAAAAAAAACTTTTTTGTTTTCTAAAGTATTATCCCTTGCCAGGATCTCATTACACTAACAAGCAGAAGCTCCCAAGCATGGAAGACCTTTCCTTGCCCCCACCCTACAGACACATAGAGACACACAGATACACACACAGAGAGAATGTTGGGGGAGATACAAAGAAGAAATACAGAGTTCAGGGAATAAGCAAGCCAGCAAAAGTACTGGCCCCACAAGACTGGTATGATGACCTGAGGTCAACCCCCAGAACATATGTAAAAAAGTAGGTTGTTGGGGCTCGATAGGCAGCTTTAGTTAAGGGCACCTGTTACTCTTACAGAAGACCTGAGTTTTATTCCCAGCACCCACATGGCGGCTCACAATCATCTATAACTCCAGCTCCTGGGACCTGTGTCATCCTTGAGCCTCTACAGGCACCACACAGTACACATACATACAGGCAGAACACTCATACACATAAAATAAGAATAAATCTTCTAAAAAATGTTTTGAAAGAAGCTTGGTTGTAGCGGGGCCCACCTGTAACTCCATCACTCACACAAGAGGGAGGCTGAGATAACAGAACCGCCCAGCAGCTCACGGGCAGCTCACCTGGAGCACCCAATATGCAGACCCAGGAGTCCCTGCATCAAAACAGATAGAAAAAGCTGCCTTCTGACCTCCACAAATGAGCTGTGGCACACATACACACAAAAATAATAAAATTAATTAAAAAAAAAAACAGGAGTGCTTATAAATAAAGAAGAAACCAGGAGCAGAAGAAATCCTTAAAAAAATCCAATAATGTAATTGGCATCATCAGGGTGTGGAGGAAAGGGGATGGGGACAGTGTAAGACAGTGTCCTCCTTTGAAATAGAGCAAGAGTCAATAGGTACTGTCTAAAATGAAAACAAGAAATTACAGATGACTCACAAGCAATTAACTCTACTGAGAGAGTTGCAAGAAACATAGTTCTTTAAAATGTAGTAATTCCCTTTAGTTTACTGCAGTTTCTTTTTCTTTTATTGCAGTCAAAGAGATACAAAGTTTTCCATGTGAGTTATTTTTCAATATCCATTTGTGTATGATTATGCCTGGAGTAAAATTTGGAATACTGACGATGTATATACTTTTTTGCTTGTTTGCTGGAGACGGGGTTCCTCCACATAGCCCTGGCTGACCTAGAACTTGCAGAGATCAGCTTACCTGTGCCTCCCAAGTACTGGGGCTAGAAGCCTGAACCACCACGGCCCAGCAAGAAGATGGATTTTTCTGAGGCCTGGAATCTATTCGGTTTCACTTTGTTCTGTTTCAGCCTATTGATCGACCCCAGGAAGGGATGTGGGAATGCAGCAATGCAAGAAAAGGCGGGGGCATCACCAGGGTCTCAGGTAGCCTGGGCCGCCCTCAATTTGATATGTAGTTGAGGCTGGCCTTGAACTCCTGATGCTCTTGCCTCACTTCCTGAGTGCTGCAATCCTCAGAGCCACGTGGATTTACACAGTGCCGGGCATCAAACCTAGGGCTCTGAGCACAGTAAGCAAGCACTCTGCCAACTGAGCTACATCCCAGCCCAAACTTTCCAAGTAGGAAGTAAAACAAAGAGCCCTACAGAAACATTGGCTGACACCTCTGATTACAAGTGTCCTACAAACACTTCACTGTAGTGTCTTCATATTTATGGCCACACTAACAATGATACAGCCACCTGTGTAAGTCTCAGTATCCAAAATTAGAAAGCTAGCAATTATTCATTTTTTCCATTTCCCTTTATGGAGCTGAGGGCCTCACACATGCCAGGCAAATGCTCTGCCCACCGACAGGCTACAACTTCAGGCCAAGCAGCAGGCTTGTAGCACTACAGTCAAGTAAACACTGTTTCTGGCGTTGAGAGAACCTCAAGAAAAACTATGGTGGTGCAGCTCTTCCATCCCAGATACTCAGGTGACCTGGACAGAGGACCTTAAGCCCAAGCACTGCTTGAGTTACAGATGTCATAAGTCCAAAGATGTCCTAAGACGAGGGTAAAGTGTACATGCCTATAATTCCAAGCATTTGGGAGGCAGAGGCAGGAAGGTCAGGAGTTTAGGGCCAGCCTTGATCACATCCTATATGGAGGCTAGCTTGGGCCACAGAAATCCTGTCTCACCTCCACTTCCCCCAAACAGACACCCCCCCAAGGCTAAAATGCCCTAGGATTGACCTCCACCCCTCCCAGTACCACAAACAAAGGAAGGGGAAAGGGACTGAGGAGGTACACACCTGTAATCCCAGCGGTCAGCAAACTGAAGTAGGAGGATTACTTCAAGGGCAGCGTAGGCAACAAAGGGAGATCCTGTGAAACAGAAGTGAAAAAGAAGTAAATATCCTGTCTCAGTCCCCTATCCATTCACTGAATGAGCATGGTCCAGAGGCCAGACACACCCAAGGAAGGAGGTGACTACGAACCATATAGTTTGAACATAGCCTCACTCACGCAGTCCAGGCATTCAATGGCTGTGCTATCCCATTCCCTCCCACCCAGCCACTGTACAGTTCCTAGTTCCTGTTCCAGGACCTGAGCCCCAAGCTACCACTCGCACGCCAAAGGCCACCCAGGGTGAGAGACTTCCACACAGCACTCATCCACCCCAAGAAACCTCAGGCTGCTAAAAGGGGAAGGGTGGAAGAAAAAAAAAAGCTAATGGTAACCCAGAAGCAGGGAATAAAATCAGAACCAGTAGCCTGGGGCTCACCACCACGCAAATTATCTGCTGATCTTCCCTTGTGTGTCAGCACAGTAGAGAGGGGGTTATACTGCCAGAGATCTGTGATCAGGGCCTGGAGCAGCCGGCATGGACTAGAACAGGAAGGCGTATTTAGCCCTGAGCTGAGCCTGGAATGAGTTTAATGACAGCCAAGCCCAGTGCTGGAGCCAGGACGAGGGAGGGAAAAGCATACGTCAGGGCTCAGGGCAACCAGAAACCTGGGTCTAACAAAGCCAGAACTTCCAAAATTTCTTCAGGCAGGGAGGAGACAGGAAAGGGGCCCAGGGGAGGCAGCCACCACTTCCCGGCAAAGCCCGGGGGAAAGTTGCTCCTATTTCCATCACCAATTCCCAGACACCGATTGCAAAAGTGTGGCCCGTTGTCCACTACAGTTTGCCAGACCACAGTGTCCTCCATGTGGCCTAAGTAACAGCAGTGCTCACTCAATCTATCACCTGCTTAAGCAAAGGCTTCCGGCTTGTTATTCAGGGTCAAATAAAAAGCAAGGCCTAGTAACTAAATCATAAAGGCTTTTTCTCACAAGCATCTCAATTACCGTCTCTTCCAGGGCGCCATGTCCCACTCTTAGCTCCCCAACTAATGTGGATACTATATTTCTTGGTCTTCCAACAAGCTTGCTGAGCTAGATTTTTGTTCCTTAAAGGCAAAGAAGGTCATCTAGTATCCCTTTGTCAACATGAGCCTGGCACGGTGCTGGGCACAAAAAGGCTAGATGAAGAGACTTTCTGATCAAAGATGAGAAGTTTAGCCTCAGCTTACGAGTGTCTGCAATGCTCCTACAGCCCAACACCCCCTTCTACAGACATTCTATGTCCCTAGATGTCTCCACAGGTCATGTGAAGTCAGTCGTCAGGCCCATCTGTTGCTCCTTCCTCTAAACCATTCTCTTATCATAAACACACACACACACACACACACACACACACACACACACACACACCAGCATGAACGTACAAACACGTTTGTTTTGTCTTTTATTTTTCAGAATGGGTTTTGCTATTTAACCCTAGCAGGTCTGGCATTTAACATGTAGCCCATGCTAGCCTTGAACTCATGGCAATCCTCCTGCCTCATCTTACTAAGTGCTGGGATTGTGGGTAGGCACCATCACATTGGGTACTTCACGCACATTAAATAAACTAAGATTTAGTTTATAATTACAAAACTTAAAACAGTTCCAGCCCAGAACATGCCAGCTCTCAAGAGAAGAAAAATAATGAGTTCAAGTCCGACTTCAGCTATGCAGCAAGTCTGGGATGTGAGATAGTCTCAATAAATAAAGAAATAAAAAAGCGAGGTCAACAAAACCTACCTTAGCCTGAGAGTTCATTTATTCAAGAAATGGTCACTTCCTGCCCACGACCAAGAATGTGAGTCGATGGAATGCACATGGCAGCAGGTACCTTCCCTCACACAACAGGGAAGGTAAGTCCTGGACCAGAAACTCAATAGGATAGCAAAGCCAAGGATAACAGGAACCTCAAAGGTTACCTGCTCAAACCTAGCCAAGAGAGATTCCACACAGGCAGATGAAGAAACGGCTGCAGGCTGAGCTCCCAGGGCTTACTTCAGAGATTGTGTTGCTGAACTATGCTTCAAGGGGCTGCTACTCAGGCATCTGGTAGCTATGGCATTGAGACATCCCTGCCAGGGAACCATTCCAGAGAAACAGATGTCCTCTAGTCTATCCTAAGGAAGAGAAGAGCCAGCCTCTTCCCACAAAACTGTTACATATGTGATGAGCACATCTAACTGGCAGAGTCTGAGTCACACCGGGAATTTGAGTAGCACAGGATATCTGAGTAGAGTCTGGTTTTGTTTTCTTATGCAGTGCTAAGGCTCAAACCTAGAGCTTCATGCATGTTAGAACTGTACCACACTCCCAAGCCATGAATTGGTTTTGTTGTTTTCGAGACAGGGTTTCTCTGTGTAACAACTCCGGTGGTCCTAGAACACACTTTGTAGACCAGGCTGGCCTCGAACTAAAAAAGATCCATCTGCCTCTGTATCCCAAGTGCTGGGACTAAAGGAATGTGCCACCACCGCCCAGCTATGTTTTTTTGTTTTGTTTTGTTTTAAGATTTTTATTTCGTGTTTGCCCGAATGTTTGTCTGTGTGCCATGAGCATGCAGTGCCTGCCAAGGCCAAAAGAGGGCACCCGATCCTCTGGGACTGGATTACAGATTGGCTGTGAGCCACCATGTAGGTGCTCTGAATAGAACCCAGGTCCTCTGAAAGAACAGTTGGTGTTGTTAACCACCGAGGCATCTCTCCAGCCCCAGAATATGTATGTTTGGTTCTCTACCCTTAGTAGTCTGAACCAACACTTATTTCCCAAATGAAGTACATTGTGGACAGAACTAGACAGTAGGAACAAACTACCAATTAGGTTAACAAAGACATCTAGGGAATAAATTAATGTGTGCCCCCCACACACACTACAAACAAATGATGGAAAACAACAGAAAATGAGCCTGATGTCAGGCTAGGAGGGCTCCCCTGAAGGAAAGTAAAATAAGGCAGGGGTGGGGGGGGGGACAGTTTATGAAGCTGTAGCCATACTTAGGGACTAGGTAAAGATGGAGCATCCAGAGCTGGCTGGATACACAATAGGTCACATGGGGAGAGGATTAAAGGCTATCAACATTGACCTTGAAGGATTCAAGAAAACATCTGGTTCAGTTGTGGTGGGAATCAAACTCAGTCTCCATGCTAGGCAAGTGTTCTGCCATTGAGCTATACCTCTAGCACCTGTTTTTCCTTGTTTTTTGTTTGTTTATTTGAGTCTCACATTATAGTTCAGGTTGGTTGGGAACTCACAACGTAGCCTAGGCTAGCCTAGAATTCCTGGCAACCACCACAGAGCTGGGAGCACGGGCATGAGCTACTAGGCTGGCAATCACGTGTTCTTACTATACCTGCCTGGCTGCATCATTGAGAGTGGACAGGAGGCAGACAGAAGAGGAGCAGGAGATTAAACAACGGGCTCTCACAGACGTCCAGGTGAAACAGAACCAGTTTGGTCTAATGGACAAAAGTTCTTTGTGTTGGCTTCAGACTCAACAGCCACCCAGGCTATTATGCAGACCTCAGAATTCTTCAAGTAGAGTTAGAAAAGAGACCACCCCAAAATTCAGGCTAAGACAAGTCAGCTGAACTATCCTGCTGCAGCAGGTAGGCAATTTAAGAAGCATGCACTCGTACTTTGCAGTAAAACATACCCCCAAGGGCCTTTGGCTGCTCTGCTTGGTGAATGGCCAAGACTACCTGCCCCAGCACCCCTGCCCCAACCCCTCCAGTCCTGCAAGCCAGTTCAAGTCCAAGTCTTCCTCAGAGGCTCTGGCTGGCCAGTCTCCATAGCTGAGAGAGCCTGACATCCCATCTTTTAGCTGAAGGAATGTGGTGTTCTGTTTGTTTGTTTGTTTTTGAGACAGGGTTTCTCTGTATTGTTTTGGTGCCTGCCCTGGAACTTGCTCTGTAGACCAGACTGGCCTTAAACTCAAAGAGATCGGCCTGCCTCTGCCTTCCGAGTGCTGGGACTAAAGACGTGTGCCACCAATGCCCAGCTGGGAATGTGTTTTAAGTATACTATCTTCACCTGAGAACCTGCTGGAAGGGCCAATTCTCAGCACCTCCAGCTAAGCTGGAAACCTGGTTGGGCTCCTGGCAACATTCCTGGACTCTAAAGCACGAGGCTGGCCACTCCACTTCCATGAAATAAAAAGGACCACGTGACCGTTTCCACCCAGCATCCCACCTTCTGACTGGTCACTGCTTGCTGCACAGCACCTGGACACCCTTTACTCGTGAAAAAGAGGCTCACTGAAGAAAGTAAAGAAAAATACTTGTTTCCACACTGGGGAAGAAGGCAGAGAGAGAGACAGAAATGACATTCACTGATGCTAAATTTTCTCCCACTAATCCAGTCTCTTACTCTCTGGCCAAGGTCATAGGCAGCCATAGAGTCACCAATGACTAAGCATAAGGCTTTCCCACATCCTCTGCTTCCTCATCGTGTGACCACAAACCAAAGCATCGTGCTTCCTAAGATCCCAGGCACAAAACAGAAACCAACCACCTACTGCCCCTCACTCTAGCCGCTTGGACTCTCCTCGGCTTCGTTTTATAAAAGTCCCTGCACTCCTCTGTCTGGTAGTCAGGGTCCTCTCCACCTGTCTTCCTGTCTTCCACCTACCTTCCTCTGCTATTATTCTTTCCTGGGCTCTTGTCTCCAAGCAGAAAACACACACACACACACACACACACACACACACACACACACACACACACCACCCACTTCACCCTGTGCTCGCCCCTCTAGACTCAAAAGCCAGATGAAGGTGTCAGAAAGCTACATGTGCATGCTCACCCTACCTAGTCAAAAGGTGAGCAGTGAGGGGGTCCTGCAGAAATTCTGTCTCTGCTCCATTCTAATCCTCCCCAGCACTGCCTCATCCCAGCCAGACCTAGTCTCACCTTCCTCTTTGTCTCAATGTCACAGCCCTTAAAATGACAGGCTTCCATTTCAGGTTAACTGCCTTGGCTACTTCTTAACAATGCAGGAGGT